GAGAGAGAGAGAGAGAGAGAGAGAGAGAGAGAGAGAGAGATCCTCTGGGGAGAGAAGAAATTTTCAAGAAGAAATTGGGGTTGACGAAGTTTACATTTTCCTTTCAGTGTCCATTGCTCCCAATTCAAACTGGGACTCTGCACATTTATATTAAAAGTAAAGAATTTTGCTTACACAATGCACTACGCAAGAAATGTGCAGTTTGGCAATCAGATCTGCTTATAGTTTGTGTTCACAGAGACTGCACTTTAGCCACAAAACAAGCCTGAAAAAGGTGGCCGGAGGGGGGGGGGGGTGCAGTTTGTAGGCCATAAAGCTTTCTATGAGCCTTTTTCACAAATGTATCCCCCAGACTGCTTGGGCACTCTCAGTATGAGTCCAAACAAAACAAGCTTGAAAATGACTCTCCATGCCCAGACTTGACCTTCTGGATATTCTCCATTCACAAAAAGGGCTGCAGGAGGATTGCTCCCTCCATGTAGGCACAGAGCATTAATGATTTGTTCTCATGGGCAGGGATGAACCCAAACACGCCCTCCTACAAGTGACTATCTGTGTTTACATATATTGCAATTTATAGATCAATGATATATAATTTTATTTCATCCTTTTTACCTGGAAGCGCATCTCAAATTATCTCCCATTTTATTAATAGAAAGATTGCCCATTTCTCTCTTTGGTTCTCTGGTTAAGGGACTCCACATGCTTGGATCAGGATAGAAAGCACTTTGGAAAAAAGCTTGATTTTCTCTTTTTTAAAAAGGGAGGATCCTTTCTTGCCCTTCCTGACCCTTGGGGCAGCCACAGCCCTGTTCATAACCGTCTCATGGCCTTTGCGCTGGACCTCCTGTAGCTATCACGTGAACTCATCCCCATTCCACCTTGGGGCTCTTGGCACTTCCCCAACAAATCTGGCTCTGCCCCAACTCTTATTCCCCCTGCAACCTGATTTTTGTACTATCTTGCCTGATGAAGACATCTGGAGGCTTTCAAAACGTGAATATTTGCGGTGACCTTGTGGTTGCCCAAATAAAGATATCAACACTAATAAGAGTTTCATGTATCATTATAATCCCTAGTCAAGCAATTAACTATACACTTTAAACTTGGCAAACAGACAAGTGTTCTACAACCTAGTTTTATGTGCTAATCTTTCAAAGCCAGGCGGCATTTTTAGAGACAGATATATTTTTACCAGCCAATAAAGAGTTCTGTCCATTTATGGTCCTCCCTTAAAAATAACTTTGGCATCCATTCATTTCACAGCAACAGGAGCGACTGAAGGGTCACAGTGCTTACTAGTGCACCGACAATAAATACAGTATGGCATTTATAGCAGTCTAAGATGCTAAATGCCACATCCACCAAGAAATTAGCAGTGGTATATAAATGCAGATTTTTTAAAAGCTACCTTTCCCATCAAATGAAGTTACATAATCTGAAATGTTCATGCTACTTACACTGGAGTTATCTCACTGCCTGTATTGCCACTGCACCAAAGCAAGTAATTTAAAGATAATTGAAGTTACTTCCCACTCTAAAGCATAAATGCAACTGAAGTATTATTTCAACTGAATAATGCCAGCTGGGGACTCATGATGTGAATGTAATTATGTCTTTAAGAAGTTTGAAAGAAACCTTTAATAAATGTGATGATACCAGAAGGGCATTTTGCATTACCATCTCTAACTAAAATATAAAACCTACCCTGAGTGGATTGAATTTTTTTAAACACCTCCCTCACACATTCTAATCCTGGAGTGAACAGCTACAGGTTTACTCAACCTGCTTTGTTTTGCTTTTTAAATAAGAATTTCAGGAGGCATTAACGCAGTTACTTTTCCATACCTTTCTTCTTTAGTGAGATGAATCAATCTTCTGCACTTCCGAGCAAGAATGAAACTTAAATTTAAAAATGCAGAAAAGGAATTCATTAAGAAAAAAGTAGAAGAGAATCCCTTACCATGTCATAAATATATTTTGGAAAAACAAAAACCATATGATACTAGGTGGACTTTAATCTCAAGTCCTAAGAGGATTTTGCAAAATTTTCAGCTTGAGTGCATTTTTCCAAATGAAATGGCAACATCAAAACACATAGCCTTGAGTAGCTATCCCTTCCCCACTGTTATGAGGGGGAAGTGTGCATTTTCCATGGAGAAACACATGGACACTTTAACACCAGTGACCGGGGATTTTGAGCAGAAAGTTGCTAATCGACACATGCCTTGCTGAGGTAACTGGTTGGCTCGCATGGGAACATATTCCTGCACTACGCAGAGGAACATATTCCTGGACTACGTAGATAGCATTCCATTCACATAGCATTCTGATCCACCACAGCTTGTATGTTCTTATATCTAAGTTCAGGCTCCCACTTGGGAAAAGTAAAACTTCCCACCCACTTTTCCTGTTATTGCAGAGGTAAGGGAGCAAAGAATGAGTGAATCCTGGTTCCTGCTTCTGTACTTCTATATAACATATGCAAAGCTATATAGATCAAATTCAATAGGTGCAAAGTCGAACCAAGGCAATAGGCCAAGGAAAAATAAATTCTTTTCTGAATGCACAAAAGTTCTGCTTCATGGACAATTTTGTATACCACATAGGAAATATAAGGCCACTGTCTTGTATTATCATGCATTCCCCATAAAGAAATACGTTACAATGGGATGGTCTGTACTAAGATACAGGTAAGGTTTTCTTCACATTTAGGTTCTGCTCCTCTCCTTCCCTCTTACAAGAATCAGAAAGCAGCTTTGGGGTCTTCCTTACCCAATTATGGCTGGAAAGCTTCCATCTGGTTTGGTGTCATCCAATGACAATCCAATAGCGGCTTCCTCATCCTCAATAATCATGGTTCCACAGTAACCTGAGGGAAAAGTTAATCTAGGTATCAGCTGTCCAGGTAATTCTAATGACCATCAGAATGCATTTGTTAGCCTCAAATGAATATCTCATGCCTCATGACTGGAGGGCATGCACAGCCATTTAAATGTTGCAGGAAGACCCAGCTGCTGGGGTGGTGTCCACAAGAGAGTAGCTGGTGAAAGTGCCTATACAGGGCCCTTCACCTGAGTCCCAGGAAAAGCTGCTTCCATCTTTCTGCAGGTGATTTGTTCACTGCAGAGATGTCACAAGGAGCCTCTGATGCCTTTACCACCCTGCTTACTCTGTGTGGAAACCATTTTGATTTTCAACAGCAGAGAATATATAAGATAACTCTAGATGCCCCTGAAGAAAAGAGAGTGTGAGAAGAACATGGAAGAGAAGTACATTTTAGGGTACTTGGGTTTATGTCTGTCTTTGTGGTACTTCCCATCAGATGGACCCATACATTATGAGAGTCAATGTATTTGTTTTTAGTACCACATTTCACTCTAAGTGAAAAGCATCAATGAGAGTGAAACCTTACACACACACATAGACACAAACAGCTTGAAGACATTACAAAAAGCTGTTAGAAAGGTCTGAAGATTCTTTTTAAAAATTTGATATTGTTCATAAATATGTATTGCTAGATTTTTGTACACTCAGAGTATCCTCTAACTTGCTACTTTCCTTTTTTCTCTTCAGTTAACACCAAATACCTTTTTTCCTCCAGAATGCTTCCTTGTAGTATACTATACATTTGATGACTGATCCCATAGGAATCCTGTTGATCAGCTGATTTCTCATGGGTGGCAAAGGTGGATTAAAGTGGATCTTCAGACTAAGCACTGGAGGGATAGCACTAATCACGTATTGGGCCTTGAAGAAAAAAAAATGCAAATAAAATTAGCATCTGTCTTCACAAGGTATAGTATGATACTTGGGTTACAGGATTCTTTCAGTTATATTTGACAGAATAATATACTCCAGTGAGGATACAAATTTCTCATTGAGTTATGGTTTATAAATTGTAAATTATTTGGAAAGTATTTGGAAAATGATGGCGGTAATCATTCCATCTAAGTTGTTGCATAATGTCTTCATAGTCCTATCCCAAGCCACAAGACTGGATCCAGATGTAATTGTGTGTAATTGCGCTGGCAGAAGTGGATTTTCCCTCCACCTCTTCCCAACAGCAGCCCCTCAAACCCTCTGAAAATATTTCACAGAGCATCCGGGGATGCTGCTGCATGGGGTGAGTGGTGGCCAAAGAAGGGGAGGGATTCCCTGGAAAGTGATACAGTTGTAAGGCCTCTTCCATGAGGTAACACAGGGCAGGTGTTGAATGCAATGCATAAACTAAATTAGAATAACCCAGTTTTAAGCCAGCCTATGAATAGATGGGTTTTCAGATGCTCACAGTTGCAAGAGAGTCAAGTAGCAGCAGATTTAAGCTTGTGTAGAAACATTGGGATATGTAGATAAAAACCTGTGACAAGGTAGAGGTTGCCTTTTCCACACACACACACACCCCAGGTGCCTCTTGGTCTCTGCCCCACAGTCATCCCCCACTTCCAGTATTTTAGGCTTATCACAGAACCACACAGTATGCACAGAACCACAGTAACCTGTGCAGGACTTGGAAGTGCATCTAAGAAGTGCATCTTATTGGAAAGGAAGATAAAATCAATTCAAAACTGTAGTTATTTTATATATTAGTAAACAATAGGTGATTGTATTTAGGGCACAATCCAACAGGCCTGCTGCATTTATGCAAGTAACACAGTCCTAGTGCAAGTGACCTCTACCACAAGGCTTGTAGGGGTCGACTGACACAAAAGGGTGTCTTGAGAAACCTGTATGTCAGCTTTTTGCAACTGGCATTGTGCTGGCATTCACTTGTGCTAGTGCTGTGTCAGTTATGTAAACACAGCAGCCCTGTGGGGTACTGCAAATTCATCGTAAATGGGGTTTTAAAGGGATGCTTCGTTTCTTTTTCGGGAAAAATACAAAATGCTTCAAAAATACTAGTACATGGGTTTTAAAATGCAAGGTTGTAATCATGCCACATTTAGGCATGGATGTGTTCTATCATTTTCAGTAGGTCCTATTTATTTGTTAAAAATACGTATATGCTGTGTTTCAGGGCACAAACTCTCCCAAAGTGCCTTATGAACTAGACAGCATCCAGACAGCCAGAGTATTCTTTGGATTCCCAGCTATGAAGTCAGCAAATGAGGCCTCACAGCTGAGGACAAATGCTCGCTCCTGCCGTCTCCTCCCAGCTAGCACAGGAAGAACCATGCCAGCTGCCACTGTAAGGTCAGAAGAGCAACCTCGGAGAAGAACTTCTGCAGACATTCCTGGGGGAGAGTTGGGGACAAGCCATGCCAAGGTATGGCATATCCTGGCCGCACCTCAGCGCCTGCTCTGGAGTGCCACAATCTTATTTTATTTATTTATTTATTTATTTATTTATTTATTTATTTATTTAT